CTATTTTCAATTAACGCATTGATCATTAACTAATATAGACTATTGTGCACAGTTTCTTTTATCGAGAGTTGACCGTACATACATTTTCTTTTATCGAGAGTTGACCGTAATGTAAGTGCCGTAATGTGCATGCGGTAAATACTACATACTGTACTTTGCTGTTCTGTTAATGTAAATCAGAGCTAAATGGATTCTCATTTATTTAGGATTATTTACCGGTCACCATATTTAAAGTATTTTTGCAGGTATTCATTGTGCATGAATATTTTTAATTTTTTTTACAAATTTTAATAGTTAAACTTATTCTTATTTATTTTAGAATGCGGATGATGCAGGAGCTCGCACATTCAAATTATATATTGACGAAAGAGATTTCAGGGGGAAAGATCGATCAAGCCTTCTAACCGAAGGAATGCATCATTGGCAAGGTCCTGCCTTGTGGATTTACAATGATGCAGAATTTAACGAAAATGATTTTAATTCGCTACTTAGTCTTGGAAGAAGTGACAAATTGTCTGATAAAACGAAAATTGGTCGTTTCGGAATTGGATTTAATTCTATATTTAACCTTACTGATCTTCCGAGCTTTGTAAGCGGCGAATATATTACATTTTTGGATCCGCATTCCAAATATCTTCCCGAGTTAGGAAATCCACCAAGGAATCCACTTGGAAACCGGTACAACTTTGTTAAAGCCAAGTTCAGGGAGAGATGGTATAGTCAAGCCGAGCCATACATATCTGTGGAAGGATGTGATTTAATAAAAAGATATAATGGAACTTTATTTAGAATTCCACTGAGAACATATGAGGTGAACAATTCAAGCGAAATATCTGGTAAAAAATTCAACCCTAAAGACTACGATCTTCTAAAACTTTTTAAAAATATCCGGGGAAACAGGGAGATGCTGTTTTTGTGAAACATTGAAGAGTGCAGTTTACATTATTTGGATGACAATCAGTCGAAGTTAATCTGGAAAACTAGGATTAACGACATGGACGAGAATATAAGAAATATGCGCCGTTCGATCACCGATGAAGCAAAAGTATTTCAACTTAACATTGAAATGCAAGTTTTCAATCATGGTACCGCGAAACATGTAAGAGGACAAACCAATAAGAGTCTTGAACACTGGCTTCTATGTTCTGGAGGAAACGAAAAGGTCAGAGAAGATTTGAAAACCCTTTCGGATGAGAAAAAAGTATTTGCACGTAAAATTTTAAAAATTAGGGCTTATTTTCGCTTTCAATTAATTATGAATATTTCCTTCACTAAAGCCTAGAGGGGCTGTTGCCGCACTAATAGCAAATATGGAAGAAAATGATGAGAAGGTATACTGGAGTCGAATGTTATACAAGATAATTGGTAATACGCCCACTATCAAATAATAATAATAAAATTTTTTTTTCAGATGAATTATTCGATAAATTTGCAGGGTGAAATGTATTCGTATTTGCCCCTCTCGGTCTAGGTGTAATGTTGAACGGTGATTTTTTTTTATCAAGTGATCGAAGCAATATTTTACATTCTGAAAGTGCCGAGAGTGAAGAAGCAAAATGGAATAGATACGTACTATTGGAGGTTCTACCATCATTGCATACTGAGCTGCTTAATGAAATTGCAATTCGCGACTCGCAACGTTTTAAGAGTTTACATAATCAAAGTAAAATGTTCCAACCATGTGTAACGACAAGGGATTGGCCAATTAAATCAGATTCACCGACCTCGGGAATTTATCGAACATTTGGGTTAATTGTACTTTACGAGTTAGCTCTGAAAAAATTATCACGTGTTTTGGACTGAAAAGAATGACGGAGAATTTATTTCATTCTCCAACGCCGTCTTTGGAGAATCGAAAAGAGAATATATCGTCCCTGATCTTCTTAAACTGCATAATGTTCCGATAGTCAAAGTATCTGAAGAACAATATAAACACCTCGAAGAGCTTTCGAGCCGTATATCTCCAAACTTAATTACGTCGGATTTGGTGTGTAATACATTCCGTAATAAGAAAAATATGTGGGATTCTTATATAACATTGGAAGACAAAAAAGTCGTGAAGAAAGCTATCGATTATTTATTAAGATTCATTCTAGAAGGAACCGATCCTCAGGATACCAAAACTTACGAAAGGTTAATCGAATTACCGCTGGTTCCTCTTTATGATGACGCTGTTGGGACCTTTTGTGAGATGGAATATTATATAGCTGAAGAAGATTATCGAAAATTATTTAATAAGACAAGATTATCTCACTTCGTGACTGAGCTGCCGTTCGATGTTAAGAATAAGGAGATTTCAAAATTATTGAAAATCTCAGAACTTGATGCGAACAGTATCCTTAACCTACTCGAGATCGAATTGCCTACAGTCGAACATATGGAGTGGAATCCCTTTGGTGAATCATACCCAAATAAAAAATGGCTTGACCTTATTCTGACAAAATTTAGCGAAGATTCCGTGTTTGAATTTCATAGATTAGCTAGACTTCCTCTTCTTCCCGTGATTCACCCACACCAAAAGCTTATCCGGTTCGATAAATCTAACTCATTATTATTTCGAGGAGGAAATCTTGAATATTCTTTGATCCTTGTGCTATATAAATTGGGCGTTAGATTTACTGAATTAAAGTTAATTGATAACGCTCACCCGACGCTTAAGGAATGTGTGATTCAGCCACTGATATAAACATTTTAGAATCGATTGAACGGGCAAGGTTGTGCTTTCAAAAATCAATGGAACAAATTTTTAAGCAATTGATTCGAAGTGATATTTCAGAACTTGGATCCTTCGTCAAAGATTTTTTGTTACGAATAAGTATGTTTTACAGTCATCAAAAGACTTTCTTTTTTGCATCTTCATTATTTTAATTTTTTGTTCCTCTGTTACTTTACCATATTTACCTCAAAAGGATCTAGCGAAAGGAATAACGAATTGAATTCAAATGTTCTAAAAATAATTCAAAGCTTACCAATCTGGCCTGCATACTCTCAAGACAGTTTTATTGCGGTTCATAGAGGGCATCTTCTTAAATCGAAGCTTAAAATATGTTCGTTACCGCATAAAAAGATTTTTAAAGTTGAATCAGATATAGATTACGACACGCTATTATATCTTAAAGTTAAGTGCATGGACGAACCGACATACATCGCCAATTATTATGATTACATGAATATAATATCTAATGGCAAATATTTGGAATTCTTGAAGAGCGCTCTTTTACTGGAAAATAACCAAGTAGAAGAACATCTTAAAAATCTTGAAGTTATTCCAAACAAAGATTGAACTGAGCTCGTCAAAGCAAAAACACTATATGACATTAATGTGGAGTTATTTCGCGAAATTTTCAGAAATACAGATAAAATTTTACCAATACGATTTCAAGAGGATGAAGATATCTTGAGAATTCTAGAAAGGATGGAGCTCAAGCGTCGTATAAACTCACTCACATTTATTGAATGTGCTCGCGAGATTGAAAGTAAGATCCACACCACTCCAAAAGCTGTTATCAAATCATTAGCCCGAAGACTAATGACGGAATTGTTTTCACGTTACGAAGAATTGTCGTTTGATCCACGACAATGGGAAGAGCTCTTGTCCATAAAGTTCGTTCCCACCGATACAAACCTTCAAGAGCATTATGGTATATATATGGAAGAAATAGTCTCTTTGAATTCCGCCTGCTTTTACAAATATAAAGATTTAGTGTGGACACAAGTTCCACTTTTCGACAAATTGCTCGATGATCCACCACTAAAATTGTCCAATTTATGTAAGCCTAAACTAATGAATGTCATTAATTATTGGGAAGCAGTTACATCTATAATTGCTCAAACTGAAAGGACTGATTGGAGATATTATGGAGAGAGAAAACAATTTCTGGACATGATGAAAGAAATTTACGAACATATAAACTCGCAAATAAACGAACAAAACAAGGAAGAAATTAAATTACGAATAAGTAGGAAAAAATTATTTTTAAACGGAAATGACCCATTCGAGCTAAAAAGTTGGGTGTCGGGACCTAGTTTAGTATATGGCATTTCCGAAGATATTGGAAAAAATTTACATAAAGTCTCTTCGTTTTTAGAAAAATGCAAATCTCTATTAAAATTGGCAGGAGCGGAAGAGTTAATAGGTGTGCGGTCAGAAATAGAAATACGGGAGCATAATCAGAGGACTTATTTATTGGACCAGTTGCTTGGTCTTTTGAAGAGACAAGAAAAAACACCGCATCACGATGTTGAATTTTGTTTTCCCAATAACGAAAATATTTATGCAAATAGATATGTACTTTCAGGTGCGTTTGGTTTTTATTTACTCTGTGATTATTATGTTGATTTATTTTTCGCATTATTAAAACATACATCACAACTTCGAATACGTACATAACAGATGCATCAGAACACTTTAGAAATCTTTTCCATAGTCAAATGATCGAAGGCACTGAAAATAAAAAAGTAACCGTGAACGTCGTTGAAGACTTTGGGCCAATACTTTCAGGGTTACTTTTCTTTGGCTTTATGGTCAACCCTTTGACGAAGCATCTGAGGCTGTGTCACTCAAGAGTGGAAACTATGTTGCATCCTTAATTGACCTACTCAAGGCTTCAAATAAATATCTGTTAGATCCATTAAAGATATATTGGAGAAAGTTATAGTAGACGAATGTGACGCGAATAATGTGATGGAAATTACAGAATGGGCAAACTTTTGTAATGCTAAACAATTAAAAAAGCATTGTTTGAAATACATCAAAGAAAATCAGAAATTATTGGTGCAAAAGATATCAAAAGAAATGGAAGACGCCGAAGAGGGAGAAGAGTATATGGAAGATTTTGAAGCGTTATTGGAAGAAGCTAATAACATGTCTAATGTTTAATTATTGCACAAATTTTACAAAATATAGTGGATTATAATAATTTATCCAGGAACTCAGGTTACGTATACACAATGCACCGTACGTACTGTTTATAATTGACCTTGAATTTTTATTTCCTATCTTATCTATAACAAGTCCTAATGACAAAATTATTTTGAATTAAATGTTCGGCTTAATTAATTGACTTTATAATAAATCAGAGAAATGTAAATTTTCAATTAAATTTTGTAATATTTTTATATAATCGATAATTGTCTATGAATGTAACTATAAAAATGAATCTTACGAAAACTATGGTTTCCTTTTATTTCTCCGCACCTTTATTTGTAGTATAATCTTGATTTTATATTTGCTTGGACCTCTTAAATGGCTTTTATTTATAAAAATTCTTTTATTATGTTAAACGTTTTAATATTATTTGTTTTTAATTGAGTATTCGTTATGATATAAAACTATTTGTAAAAAAATCAAAAATTTTGTAAAATAATATAATACTATAACAAAGCACGTTTGAATTTGTTTACTATTTTTTTTTATTCTCTGTAATCTAGTATACAGTAGTTACGATATTAAAGATAAATTGGCAGAAAATACATAAGTAATTATATTTAAACCGGAAATAGAATAAAAATAAAGAAAAATCTTTCATTAGATTCATAATTTCTGGATTGAAAAATGGAGACAAGGTCATATAACTTCAATTGATAAGGAGAAAATAGGTATAGAGACCAATAGATCATTGGTGTTCTTATGGTTGAGTATTATTTCTTCAAGAAGCATACTTTATCTCATATCAAATTTAAGTATGAAGCAAATAGAATATGCGAGTCTTTAAAAAATAATGCATCTTCTAATCTTCGCATCAAGATCTATTAGTGAAATTTCTTCTCGGTTGTATTTCCCCTAAACCCATTCTAGTTCATGAATTTTTCATTGGTGCAAGTAATTGATAAATGAATATTTCTATACTTACTTTGCATATAAACTTCTATTAAGCACTGAATTTGGGGTTTTTTTTTTTTTTTTTAAAAAAAAAATCCTTTATTAATCAAAATTCGGAGTCAAAACAAAATAGGCAAACAACTTTAAAGAAAACTATAGAGAAGCAAATATTATAAAAGATAACCCAGAAAGGTTTGGGTTATTCTTTCTATCAATTCTTTGACAATAAATAAAAAGATATTTGTAAAAAGCTATATTTTTATAAGGTTTTATTACTTTTTTAACCAATTTAAAGAATATTTTCAAGAATTGCTTTGTTTATCCTTTCCAATTTATATTTATTTTCATACGAAACTTAGTTTTTATAAAAAAAAATTTTTTAAGAATTATTTTTATAGTTTACAATAAAAAGTTCCAAAAATCTATGGCATTATATTAAATATCTGCCTTACTAAAACAGATTTATTGTAAAAATTTTATATCAAAAGATAAAAACAAAAATTAAATCTTAGAAAACTGTTATATCTACAGTTTTAATTAATTTGATTTTTTATTTTTTTAATATAAATATTTTTATTTTAGTTTGAATTGAATTTTTAAACAAAAATTTTGCTAAAAAAAATAAATAATATTAAATATATTAATATCAAAATATGAAAATGAAACTCTTTTTCACAGATCAAAAATTTTTAAGCAATTTTTTTCAAGAAACAAAAGAGCATATGAAAGAGATGAATTCTCATAGAATCCATTCCGGATAACAATAGAGCAGTCATGCATCTCAACCAAGGAAAACAAGAATAAGACCATAATCACACTACATTGCAGAATTTTCCCAAAATCTATCACCAAAGAACTGAAGGATTTTACTAAATCTTATGGGCAGAGGAACCTTGCTTGCAGCTTAGTATCAACAATAACAATCTGAAAGCATTTAACATCAGCAAGATCTTTAACCTTAACAAAACAAAATTGGATATCTTGACTGTAATACAAGAATAAATAAGAGAATGCAAACATGTTATGATCTATACAGATTAATTAATATCAAGACATGGAAATAGATCTTATATGGGCTTTAGCTGGATTATTAAAAATAAAACAAAAATAGAATACACCTTTTAGGAATAGACTCAACTGCATGCCTCCTTAACCAGGGTAAAATTAATGGTTATAATAATAGCAATAAGTACTCTAAGTAGGAACACTACAGTATATCTATACACAGATAGTAAAATAGCAATAACGAATTTGACAGAAGTTATGAACCACACAATAATTAAAAAAATAAAAAAACTCAACCAAGTAATAACTAAAACCTTCAATTTTATTAAGAAAAAACAGAATATGCACATAACACTACATAAAGTGAGGCACACACTGGAATCCCACTCAATGAAGAAGTGAACAGGTTAGTCAGAATCAATTCTATCTCACAATATATGAAACCCAATTAGAAGATCATAAAATAAAAGAACAATATTAGAGTTTATCTCTAGTAGAAATAATCTGAAACACAACAATAATAAATATTCTAGGAAAAAACTTAGCAAAACAAGTTAGCAAGGTCATCAGACTGATCAAGTGGAAACTGTTTAATAGAACATGAAACAGCTTCACTGATAAGGATTTCAGAAACACATACTAATAATAAACATTTGATAGTATAAATCTTTGACAATGAACAAACACAATACATTAGGTTAAAATTATCACATAAAAAGTTTAACTTCAACCTCTGGTATAAAGAGACCCAATTCTGTACAAATATTATAATAGACTTTTATTAATCTATAAAGATAACAAGTGCATCAAATGCAGAGTGATAGAAGATATAATACACCCTTTCCTATATAATAACAACATAAAATACTGAAAAGAAACTTCTACAGAATTCTAATTAAATATGTCTCATTATAGATTAAAAAGAAATATAAGAAAAAACTCAAAAATATTATATACAGATAATCTAGTTGGACAATCTTAGGAAGTTTAGGCTTCTTATAAAGAGGGTAGTTTTAAAAGAAATATCAAAGTTATTTGAGACAATCCTAATAGACAGGAAGCCCAAAATCAAGACTATCACATATATGATAAAGAAATATAAAGAACTCCTATATAATATATAGAATTTAAGATATGAGAAAATTTATAATTAAAAAAAATCAAAGGTACATGAAGATATAACAAATGAAGAAGTACAAAAAGCAAGCAAATCTAGCAATATTATAGCAATCCTTTTTAGACCTAACTAGAATAGTAAACAACTACACAAATGAATATATAAAATATTAAATACATTTATTCCCTATTATCTTTAAATAATAATTAGAATGACCTCAGTATATTAATTTGTTTTTTTTTTGAAAAAAAGGCAATATATCACTAGATATCATATATTTTAAAAAAATAAACATAGATCAAGCCTTCAAAAACCATAATATTTTTTTTTTTAACTGGCAAAGTCCTGCCATTGAGTTTTTATTAGTTCATTAATACAGGCTTAAATATGCAAATTCAATTGTGAGTCTATACATTTATGAGATAAAAAATACTATGACTCAGTATTCTGAAGTAAAAACTCTGTGACTTGCTGCAGTTCACCTTTATAGGTGCTAGCATGTCAAGACTTCACTAGCACTAATATTTACAGAGAAAAAGAAATATGGAAAATAACTATTTTTAAGTATATATTTGGTTATGATGCTGGTTAGTTCTATATATAATTCTTTGAACCTGTCCTTTAAGTATTTTTCAAGATTTATTTGGACCTGCTCTTGTATGGGGTCTGTCTTGAAGCTCTTTATAGCTTGGGTAGTTGGTGAGTCCGGACTTGGTGGTATTGTACATTGGTTGTGTCTTTTGTTTTTAGTAGTCCTTTTCTATTACTTGAGCTTTTTATTTATGTTTTAGCTCTTTTCCCACTTAATTGTGATATCGCACCTCAGTTTCCATACTTCTCATTTCTTTTGCCAGAATTTGTAAGTGACTGTTCTGATTGCCTCCATAGCTTTGGGTCTGTCCTTAGTTATGGATTCTTCCACTTGTACCATATCATGAGTTATAACTCTGACTATATCCTTCCATTCGATCTTATGCTGTGTCTTTAATGGCTCTTGGTATTCTTGTGATATTTGAGTTCTTCCCCACTTTTTTTGGATTTGTTATTTTTGTTTTCTATCTGCTCTTAGCACACTTTCATTTGTTAAAGCCTAAATATATTCTTCCTATAATCTTGTCTATATTGTACCACATTGAAATATGTGATCATTGCCTTCCTTGTGTTATTTACATACTTTGCACTTATCATCAGTGTATATATCTGGGCATCTCATATTTAGCTTATCCATGGTTGGTAGTTCTCCCATCCATATTTTGATTCTAAATGAATAGTCAGTATAGTCTTTCATATTTATCAGGGTTAATGTAATACTTGTTGGCATTAGAAGCTCCAAAGTTAATGGCCAATATATTTTCTTGCCATTTTTTTGTTTTAATTAGTCCTGGTTTCTTATAGTATTCCATTTGCTTGCCCATTTGTTCTTTAGAATCTGTTTTATCAGGGGCTTAACTGCTATGTCAAATTGTTTTTGATTCCATCTTGTGAATACCTTGGTCATTATGCTCTTTTCCATGTTTGTTGTAACAATGTGTTTTGGCTTATCTGTTAGCTTTGTAGCAGCCAAGTTGTCTGCTTTTTTATTGCCTGGAATGCCTGTGTGGCTCTTGACTTTTTCCCAATATACTGTTAATCTTTTTGTCTTTATAATCTCCTTGATTGTATTGCTGAGGTTTTGATTTGGATGATCTGTTCTCCCTTGACCTCTTTTATTTTTGACTGTAGGTCTCTGAGGACATTAATGGCAAATTGACTGTCTGTGAATATGGTGATAGTTTTGTTTATATTAACTGTACTTATTGCTGTTAGGATGATTGTTAGCTCCACTCTTGTAGATAAGGGAGTGTTATATGTTTCCACTTGGAATTCTGCTACTTGTTCCCCCAATTTGATTGTAATAATCCACCCTAGATCCATTCTACCTTTTTCTGAATGTCTA